CAGTTCCTCTGCCTCATCTGTTGGGTGTCTTGCATAGATGACTGATATCAGACGATGATTTTTGCCTGCAATGGGAATGGCAAACACAGAAAGACTCAAATGCATTTTCTAGAGTAGCATTTTCTCAGAGACCAGTGCATATAGGAATCACTCAGTGTTGGGACAACACTTGGAAGATAACACCACCCTTGGTGTGCACTGGGTTCCGGGCCGTTCGCTTCCTCGCAGACAGGTGGGTGTGGCAGGCTTGGGGACTCTGTGATCAGGATCTGAGCATTGCCTTGGTGGGGCAGGCTCTGCCCTAAACAGTATTGACGGCTTTAGTGCTTCCTGTTGGTGGCAGAATTGTTTTAATGAGGGCCACCTCGAATCTCATCATTAAGACGTTTTGGTAAAAGTGTCAAATGTTCTTAGAATTCAGGCGAGCTGCAACTTATGCTGTTCTTTTACCCCCCTGCCCAGAGAAACCTCACGGAGTATTTTGTGGCGGTGGACGTGTACAACATGGTGCACCTGTACGCCTGCATGCTGCATGAGAGGCGGGTGGTCATCACCTCCAGCAAATTAAGCACTGTGAGTACTTCACACCTCCCTTTCAGCCGCCACCGGGTCGAGCGGCTCACAAAGGGACCCGAAAACCTCTGCAGATTTAGAAATGCGCGGGGCTGTACGTAGGAGACAATATCTACATACTTTATAAATATATGGTTGTAATCTGGCTCTTGAAGTACAAAAGTCTGATTTATAGAAGGCCTTCCCAGATGCATTAAGTCAGGTTAATTATTTTTTTTTTCCTTATCAGGAGATGAGGTGTTTTTTTTTTTTTCCTTTTTCCTTTTTAACTCTCCAGAGTTCATTTTAGTGCCTTCTATCACATAAAGAATTCTTAAGAGCTATTATGAGATCTTTATTATTCACTTGTGGCTTTTTCCATTTGAGCTACTTGAAATCAAGTAGGCTGCGATAATAGTGGCTACCCCAACCTGGTAATAGGTGGATTCATCTTTGTTGCTTGCTCGTGGTTTGGAAGCAGGTTCTATAATAATTCTGACATGGAGGAGCTCTTCAGACTGATAATAACTTAAAAGTCAGAGTGGCATTTTTATAAATCACAGGTTTTATGACACTTGCTAAAATGGTCTTTTGGAAGGGCTCCATTATTGCAGCAGAAGTAAGGCAGATAGAAAGATGTTTCTTGGGTCACAGGAAAGTATTCAAATGTATTCTGCTTGATTTCATCATTTTTTTCTTCATTAAACAAAAAATTTGTATTTCTGTCTTTTTAATTTCATTATACGTTTATGTAAAGTTTTGAGTCATCAGTGAAACATTGGAAACCGTTATTCATTATTATATGAATTTGCTTTTCTATAGTTTTTACTTGATAAAATAAAATCATAGGTTTAATATTTTATACTTTTAGTAGAAATAAAAACTCTATATAATATTTTAGTGTAATAAAGTAGAAAGAGTTTTAGGATACCTATTTAATATTTAATAGTGAAAAAAAATATTTTTAGAGAAGTCAAATGGCTACCTCCAAGGCCAACAGATTGGAAATAGAGTATGTTTGGGTTATTTATGTTGCTTTGTAATTGAATTAATACAATTTGGGGATTCTTGGATATTCAATCTCAATATTTGGATATTCACACTCAATATTTTTGCTCCCAAATTGCTCCCGTTTTGCTCCCAAATTGAAAATATATATTACATATTAAAAATATATGTGTTTAAAGATGTTAGTGACACAAGCAATTATTTCTTTCTTCTGAAAGCTCTAGTAGAGGTGTTTAGTATAAATGATTAGGTACTTTTTACATGGTTAACTTTCTATTTTTGTATAATTTACCACTGAAGCAAAACCATTCTTTCCTCATCATCTTATTTTCTTAAACATGGTATTTTTTCAGGATTCTGAAGGATATTTCTAGAGGGATTTTTGCCTGAAAGATTAAAAATGTGGCATAAATTATAGGACTAGGAACTGATTCATGCAACAAATATTTCTTAGGGACATGCTAAAATGCCAGTAGTATGAGCTCATACTACATGAGCTCAGCACTAACTGAGCAAGACAAAGCCCAGCTATTTTGGTGGTGATATGGAATGAAGTAGCCGAGTGAATGGACAAGTAAACAGCTAGTGTGTATTATGGCAGTGACTGCTGTCGAAAGGTCCAGTGTGTGCAGGTGGGTGTGAGAGGCGGGTGTGTGCAGGTGGAGGTGGGGGTGTGCAGGTGGAGGTGGGTGTGAGAGGTGTGTGCAGATGGAGGTGGGTGTGAGAGGTGGATGTGTACAGATGGAGGTGGGTGTGAGAGGCAGGTGTGTGCAGGTGGAGGTGGGTGTGAGAGGTGTGTGCAGGTGGAGGTGGGTGTGAGGTGTGTGTGTGCGGGTGGGGGTGGGTGTGAGAGGTGGGTGTGTGCAGGTGGAGGTGGGTGTGTGCAGGTGGAAGTGGATGTGAGGTGGGTGTGTGTGTGGGGGGGTGGGTATGAGGTAGGTGTGTGCAGGTGGAGGTGGGTGTGTG